AAAGTTGGACGGTGGAGTCAAAATGTGGCGTAAACAACATGAAAGCAGAGTGGTAGTGGTGGTGACGTAATGGTGTGGGGATATTTTGTTGACCCTCCTGAGCACATAAATGCCAAAGCCAGAGTATTGATCCTGACCATGTCCATCATTTTATGTCAACATTGTATGCATCTCTTACTGGGTGCTTCCTGCAGGATAATATGCCATATTGGTGTCTTGAACTTGACAATGAGTTCCGTCCATCCATATATCCAGCTTCTACTTATTCACTTTAGGGTGGTGGGTGAGTTGCAGCCTATCCCAGCTTATACCCACATAGCAAAATTGGTATGGCCCGGATGTGGCCCACACAATGTGGCTACACATGGCCCACATACCGCAAAGAATGACGGCCATTTGGTGGCCCGGATCAAGTTTGCCAGAGGTGGCCCACACATGGGCCAGCACAAGGCCGGTTGCAGACACACTGGTGGTCCTGTGCTGGTAATCCACACATATGGCATGCCGTCACATAAACAGTGCCATCATTGCCACACCTGGCCCACATCTGGTTGACATACACCCTGCCATGACACCAGTCAGTCAGAAGTGCCAGCTTGATGCCAGATCCAGGCCAGACCTGTTTTCTATGAGCCTGGGCCACATATACCAAATCACAATCGGGCCAGATGTAGCATGCTATCACATACACAGTGCCACCTACGCCAGGCCTGGCCCATATCTGAATGACATACCACTTACCATGCCAGAAGTCAGCCATCAGTGCCGGCTTGACACCAGATCCGGGCAGACCTGTCTACTATGAGAGTATAGGGATCAAATAAACCACAGACAGGTCACTCTACTCACATGGCGTACCTTTACTACTTGTGGATTTGTTTTCAGGAGATTTTTTTTCAAGGAGCATGAATGAGTACTTTGTCATTTACTTTGTAACCTGCATTTTTCCTCTGATGCAAAATCTGTCACAACGGCACCTTTTTGAAACGTACATCAGCTACTTTAATATTAAAATGGATTGCCTAGACACTGCTGCTCACAGAGTATGCATCAAACCGTTGTGCTATCATTATACTGGAGCAGTTTTATAGATGGAAGATTCTTAAAGTTTCAGGATGTGTTTGTGTAAAGCCATAAAAAAGTCATGACTATTCAAAGGGAAAGAACTGTTGCTCACTCTCATGCAATTACACCTGTTTTATTACTGAGCGAGCACAGAAATATGTCACCTTCAGGTTAATAGTTTTCACTTGTCAGCAAATTACCCAGCGGCATTAATGGGGAACTATTTATGGCTTTTCTTTTGTTTCCTTTGACGAGCATGCAGAGCCTGTTTGTGTAATGGCATTGTGTGTGAACTAACTACTTAAAAAAACAAAGATTAATGCAGAAGGTCAACATAACAAAATAATAAATTCTTTGATTACTTTCAGGCTCAGATGTTGTTTCAAGAAAATTACTGAGAGCTTAAGTGGATTGATTCTTTTTACAGCAGCTTTGGCTCACTTAGAAATTAAAATAATCTTTATTTATCCCAT